CTCTCTCTCTCTCTCTCTCTCTCTCTCTCTCTCTCTCTCTCTCTCTCTCCTCCTGCACTGCCTCCTCCATCTCCCTCATCTTCTCTTTCCATTGATATTGTGGGTCTGCTTTCCTCCATTCCTCCTACGCCTCCTCCTCCTCCTCCTTCTCCTCGTTCCTTGAGGCCTCGTGGAGCGCAGCAAGTCGCCGCCTGTTCTTCCGCTTCTCCCTCTTTGCGAGCAACCTCCGCCTCTTCCCGCCGGAAATCACTATCTGCGTGGCAGTTCGCCCTGTTCCTACCTTCAGATCGCTTTGATGTCCATCTGGCGGTAATTAACAATAACAATGAAGAGGGGGAGGAGGTGGAGGAGGAGGAGGAGGAGGGAAAACCGGATGAAGAGATGAGGAGAAATTGGTCCGTACTGGCGCATCGGAAGGAGGAAGTGAATGCGAGGGTGATAGCTGAAGAGGAAGAGGAAAGGGAGGAGGAGGAGGAGGAGCGGGGGGAAGGAGGGAGAGGAGTTGGAGACTGATGATATCGCCATAATTCACCAGTATAAGCTTGCGCCTCCCCATCTCCTCCTCCTCCTCCTCCTCCTCCTCCTCCTTCTCCTCCTCCTCTCGCTCGTAATCCAACCATCAACACAAGTCTGCAGTCCTCCTCCTCCTCCCCCTCCTGCTCTTCCTCCCCCTCCTCCTCCTCCTCCTCCCTCCTCCTTATCCTGCCATCAACACAGCAGCTTCCATCCCTCCTCCTCCTCCTCTCCTTCGTCCTAATCCTACCATCAACACAGCAGTTTCTAACCCTCCTCAGCGTCCTCCTCCTCTCCCCCCTCCTCCCCCTCCTACTCCATCTCCTCCTCCACTTCCTCCTGTTCTGCGTCCTCCTGCCAATCCCGCCATCTACTCTGCCGTCCCCTGCTTTCCCGCCAATAATACCACATCCTTGTCCACTTCCTAATTTCTAGAGCAACTGGCGGTAAACACTGCAACAACGGAAAGATGAAGTGCAGCCGTTCAGAATTGATGACGCAGCCTTGCTCATTACGATACAACTTTTAACGAGACGTCCGTTTTTTTCTGTTTTTTTTTCTGTTTTTTTTCTGTTTTTTTTTCTGTTTTTTTTT